GTTCGTATTTCCGAGACGCTCAGTTTGACTATAATCTCGCTGAAATCGGAGTTCAAATGCTCTTGAATTTAATTTTGGAAGCTTACAACTCAATTTTGCATCGAGATTCGGGCCTGATCAAGATAATTTTTTGATGATATATCAGTTGCCCCCCATTTTCGGACGTCGAAGTCTTAGAAGTCCGAAAATACATATGATATCTTGTGCTGAAGTATTACATATATAAACAATATACTTGTATAAATGAAATACACATCCTATACCAAGTTATACATGATATAGGTTATGTGTTATATTTATTACTAAACTTTTTATTTAATATTGAACGTGTAGACATATTCAGTTCATCTCCTTGATACTTAATTGATAACTTGTAATAATTTATTACTATATTAATTGATATAAATCATAGATCGTTGCCGACCATATATGATTCCTCTGTTATTAATTACTTGTGTTGTATTCAAATTAAGTTATACCACAAATTTTCAAGGATATTCTGCTAAACAAAATATGAAAAATGTGATATCTCACGGTGACTTGACAACACTGAGCTTTTAATAAAAAATGTGTGCATATATTAATATAGTTGTAATTAAAATGAATGTGCCGCTGAAGCAAAATGTTCATTGAACTGCCTCCCAACAAAACGCCTACTCGGGCCTATACAAATTGTAAAAGCAGCCAGCCGTCTAATTATATACTAATATTAACTTTTTATTATTATAGTATGCCTTTTAACTTTACAAATTCCTAAAATTTCAGAAATTTCTGAAATAGTTTTTTGAATTCCTTTGTTATGAATAATCGTATTTATAATTCACAATGTGGCTAGTTTAATTAGCCTTTTATCATGCCGCTTGGGATTATAGTATTTAATTCCCAAATTTTGATTTATTGCCACTACTTGACTTTTAGCATTCTCAGGCTTTATATATACGGTTAAATTATATTAATAAACTATGAGTTATATCAATTAACAATTGTCTCTTAAAATTCCCAAATTATTTATAGAAATTTCTAGAGAGACTTTTCATCTTCCCCTCATGCAACTATAAATACCCCCTTAAGGGTAAGGAGAAAATCACAATCTCTTGTGTCATTCCAAGTCCTCCCCTTGGATTGATAGCTCGGAGATTGTCAGCGGCGATCAAAACCTTGCTCTCTTGTGCCGGTCCAAACATTTCCTGGATTGGTAGCTTGGGGAGCGTAGGTGGCGATCAAAGCGAAAATTAGTGGCGATCAAAGCCTAGTTCTCTTGTGCCGGTCCAAGTTTTTTACTTAGATTGGTAGCTCGGGGAGCATAGGTGGCGATCAAAACGAACATTAGTGGCGATCAAAGCCTGGTTCTCTTGTGCCGGTCTAAGTTTTTTTCTTGGATTGGTAGCTCGGGGAGCATAAATGGCGATCAAAGCGAACATTGGCGGCGAGGATATTGACATGTTTTTAATCAACTCACTTAGTCCATGGATTTTGATTTTTCTATGATTGTTGGGTTCAAAATGTCTAAAATAAGAATACTTAGAGTTTCTTAATGGATATTGACATGTTTTTAATCAACTCACTTAGTCCATGGCTTATAGCGATTAGATTGTACTAAAGTGACAATTACAGCTAATGAATTCTTTGAACAAAAAATTTAATATATCATTTTGAATCAAATTCTCGAGAATTTTGAATTGCTAGTAAATGAAGACCTTATGTCACCATTTTTATTTTGAAATATATTTCTCCTTAAGAGCAACCATATGCCATAGATACTTCATGAATTTGATGTTTACGATTCTGTGCAGATCATAAGAACTCTGAGAAATTCAAATAGTTCCAGACTTTGCACGATGATGCATGCATTGCATCATGGTTGATCAAGGAGCACATGATATTGCCGCCCAGGGGGAGGTTGGAGGTTTTGTCAACACGCCCTCCCTTGTGTACATGAGATGTTCATGAGAGGATAAAGGTGTTTTGATTGGATTTGCAATTTTGTTAGGTTCATTTCAGACCCCCCAAAGATCTTCGATTTAGACAATTTTGATATTTTGGGCTCAGGCTGTTGCTTTGACGATAAATTTGTATAATTTGGAATTCATTTGATCCCCATAACCATTTTTAAAGTGGTAATATGTAGTCAGTTTAGCTCCTCTGAATTTCTTTGAGGTGAGTGCTTTACACCAAAACGTATGCTATTATAAAATGGTTATAATCCCAACAATTAAAGTTACATATAACATATACTTGTCATAGGGAACCTATGAAATTGTCAGTGGTGCTATTTTCTGCAATAGTTTTTTAATGGTTATGGGTGGATTAAGTCCTAGACATTGAACATTTAAACTTGTGCCATGACCAATATGAGTATTTCACTTATTATCTTGAATTTTGCTTGCTTAATGGTATTGGGGCATGGAAAAACATGTTATCCAGTTGTTTGTGCTTGTACCCTGACCATTGTATATGAAATAAAGAAGTAAAATGTACGCTTCCTGTGTCTTTCATATGAGTTACGTGCACAATCATGTTTAACATGCAAGTCCGTAGAGTTTTAATGACATATCTATTAGGCATTAATGATAAGCTTTCCAATCATATTTAGTGAAGAGGCGAACTACCCTTTCATAAAATAACTCCGTCCAATCTTTTCCCAGGATAATGAAGTTATAGGGCTAAAGAGTATTTTGTGCTAAAATTATTCCCGAATTCATTTCCATTCAGGTTAAGAACTCTTATGATTATTTTGTTGGCAGAACCTTAGAAGAGACTAGAGTTCATAAGGTTTTAAGAATAAAATTGAATAAATAATTTTGGAAACATTATCTTTAAATTAATGGGCAAATATGGCACCTCATCACCTAAACTTACCAACTTATTTGGTAGTTTAGTTAAGATTCAAAGCTCGGAGTTGATTGAAAGAAGTTACATTTCATAATTTCCCATACTTAGATCAAATGAGCATTGTTTGGCGTTGTCTATATGATGAATTTTACTCTTGCTTAACGTAAATGAAGGACTACATCCCTACTTGTGGAGAAATTATTATGTGCGGATGTCGAACGCCGTCCGGAGACCAATCAGAATGCACCACGTCGCTCCTTTGCTTGGTACTGCGGCTTGATACTGCTCGGTACCGCGGCTCGATAATGCTAACGTGGCTGCACCTGATTAGCCTCCGGACGTAGAGCTGCGTTTGGTATCCGCACAGAATAATTTCTCCTACTTGA